GCACCCCACTGGCATTAGTATTTAAGTGTGCCCATGTTTCTCCTAACCTCAAAAACATCTTTCCTAAAGTCCTCTTCCTTCCTACTTTCATAGCCAAATTTGGCTTAAAAGTTGTCCCCATGATTACCACTCTAGTTTGGATTCTGCCTACCCTCTGCCCCATCCAAATTGGTCCCGCTAAGGCTACCCATTACCTGAACATCCTGAATTCAACGAGCAGTTAGTTTTCTTTTTCTTTTTAATGTTAATTTGTTTTTGAGAGAGACAGAGACAAAGAAACAGAGCATGGGCAGGGGAGAGGCAGAGAGAAAGGGAGACACAAACCCACAAAGTGGGCTCCAAGTTCCACGCTGTCAGCACAAAGCCGGACACAGGGCTTGAACTCACGAACTGTGAGATCATGACCTGAGTTGAGGTCAGGTGCTCAACCAACTGAGCTACCCAGGAGCCCCTCAATGAGCAGTTTTCAATACTCAGATTATTGGTTCCATTAGTAGCATTTGACAAAGTTAATTATTCCTTCCTTCATAACTGATTCTTGGCTCTTGGGATATTTTAGTATTTCTTTCTTCCTACCTTACCCCTCCTTTCTCCAGTCTTTAAGTCTAGGAGTTCCTGAGGATCTCCTTCCCTCGGAGACAAGCCCACCCAGTCCCACGTCTACTTACTATAGATGCTATGCATTCACACAGAAATATGACACGGAGCCAGACTGAATGGAACACAGATGTCAAGGCACATGTTAAGCGCCCTCTGTTGCTAAAGCTTAAGTTTCAACACACTTTCTGCGGTAGGAAGTCCAAATGAGCTCAGCTGGATTCTCTACTTAGGGTCTCACGGGACTGAAATCAAAGTTTCAGCTGGGCTGGGCTATTATCTGGAGGCTCTGGCCAAGAATCTACTTCTAAGCTCATTCAAGGTGGTAGCTGAATTCAGTGCTTTGCAGCTATAGGACTGAAGTTCCCATTTCCTAGCTGGTCACACTGCATACATTATGCTAGTTAAATAGTGTCTGTATAGGAAGGGTTGTGAGAGAAAGAACAAAGTCTCATTATTAATAAATCATAATAAAAAATCTAATATTATTAAGAAATCTAGTAGCTGAATGAGAAATACAACTGGAATTAAGAAAGGGGGAGAGGTGGGGTGCCTGGGTGGCTCAGTCAGTTGTGTGCCTGACTTTGGCTCAGGTCATAATTTCACTGTCTGTGAATTCGAGCCCCGCATTGGGCTCTTTGCTGACAGCTCAGAGCCTGGAGCTTGCTTTGGATTCTGTGTCTCCCTCTCTCTCTGCCCCTTCCCTGTTCGTGCTCTGTCTCTCTCTCTCAAAAATAAAAAAAAAAATTAAAAAAAGTGGGGGGGAGATGCCATTCCAGGCAACTGTTATACAGAGTAATATGGTGTTAAAGATGCAGGTGAAGAAAGTAGCTGGGGTTATATACCAGGAAAGAGTGCCATTCGAACAAAGATGAGTACATGAGAAAAGTTCCAGTAAGAGGGGTACGCCGGGGCAGGAAGGGTAACTGATAACATTCTAGCTGTTGAGTCTGGCTTCAGAGATGACTAAAACAACTAAATAATCAACCATATGGCTATTTCAACATTTGTCAGTCAGGGTTCTTATCTGAAAACACTGGAAGCTAACATTAAACGGAAGAGTAATTTATTAAGGGAATCAGGATGACTAGAGAATAGGCTTATGGGTACGCTTCTCAAGAACAAAAACTAAAACTACGCTGCAGAACTGGCCCGGTGAGGAAATTGTGCCACTGCTCCCCATGGACACTCATGTGCCAAGGTCTTTTCTCTCCTGCAACAGTCACTGTCTAGCACACATACTATTTCTGCACCAGCAAAGCTAATTCAGAATTACTACAGACTCTGAGTATCAGATTCCTCCACCATCAGCCCATGCAAACATGATGTGAGTGCAGCCCCTGCTTCTCTGTTCAGTCTGTACTGAGGTTTCCTGGGCACGAATAGGACTAGAGCGCCTCATGAGCATGGCTCTGCCCGAGCTACCAGTCAGGCTGGGAAAGTGAACTTGCCCTCAGGGAGGTGGGACTATTAGTTGGGACTTTCTCAGACATTAGAAGACAGTTGAAAATATATGGAGGAGTGAGAAACCATAATAAATATCCAAACAAAATGTCATATATTTAGCACACCAAATGCATCTAAATTCCACCCATTTCTGTTCTTACCTAATGCCCTTCCCAAAGTATATTAGTAGAATCATAATATCAGAGATAGATGGGACATTTAGTTTAATTCCCTCATTTTACTATTAAGAAACCTGATGCCCAAAGTGATTAGATAATTTATCCAAAGTTACAGCCACAGCTAGTTAGTACAAAGGACTGATGCTTTTCAACTCTGTATGTTTTCTATCATTCAGTGATCAAACCGAATCTTTATCTTAAAGTTCAACTTAAATTCTCCCCTCAGGGAAACTCAGGGTTTAGTTCTCAGTCATCCGGTGATAGTGATCATTTTTTCTCTCAATGTACTGATTTGATCAGTTCCTGAATATAAAGTTAAATTTTCCATTGTAGAATTCTGTTTTTCTATTATTACCCATAAAAGTAAACTGTTATTAAACTGCAAATATGTTTAATCATAGTATATCAATTTTTGAATATCTTAAAACTGTCCTTTACCTAAAGGCTAATTAATATTCTTGCAACGACATCAAGTAATTATTCAAAAGCTACAAGAATAAATTGTTTAATTATGAGAACTTCTCACTCATTTATTATTACAGCTTATAAAATTAAAGCTAAAATCACCCACGTAATCTATAATCACATGATTTTTCTATACGGTTAGTATCAAAACTTAAGCAAAGAGAACATAAACACTGTAGCACATACAGAACACAAACATTCTAGGAGTATTTTATTGTTATGACAAGACAACTGATAGAATTATGAGTCTTGACCTCAAAATTGTGGTGTGCTAAATTGTTTTTGGCACAGAAGCCAAAATATTTTGGATTTGGAGAAGGTGGAACAGGAAAGATGGAAAGAGAGAGGAACAATTAAACACAGGCAGTAAATCTGAAAAGGGTGGCAGTGTAGAGAAAAAATTCTCCCAGAGCAGTGGACAGTTCTAGTCAGATTCTTAGAAGCTATTTGTCTAGCACTTTTTTCTTTCTGGGAACATGCTTCAGAAATTTACTGTACTGGTTGTCAGAAATATAGAATCAAGGACTAAAAGCCAATACATGTAATGTAGGTATATACAGAAATAATTTAGTTGGACCAGAGATGAAACCATATTATTTTCTGTTGCTTCATTTTGTTTGTGAAATGAATATAATTAACACAGAGTTGGAAATGGATCATTTGAAGTAAATAAATACAAAATACATACCTCATGATGATACGGTCATTCTCTTCCAATTTAAATCAGGTATATTTCTCTATAAGAGTGTGTTTTCACAGATTAACTAGTCATCACTCAGACCAAATCATGAAAAAGTTTACAATCCTATTAAGAACTGCCAAATATTCAATTTTATAAAAAACTGCTTTTTCCAACTCTGAAATATTGCCTGGACTTCTTTTCTCTCTCCTCTGATAAACTGCTGATATTATATTTTTAAAAGGGACATTTCCCCACAGTGGTAATTCTGCAATTTAAAATTGTAACAAGTTATCAATAAAGGCTAAACAGTATCCTACAAACCCGCAGGGATACATTATACTTACTATGGCCTTTGGTTTTAAAAATGTTGAAATCATCCAGCTGAAATGGTATGGTGAAAAAAAAATCTAATGTGAATGAGGGTCCTATAAGATCCAATGCTTCCTGGTATAAATTCTCTGATCTTGAACTTATGCTTACACCCTTTAAAAGCTTAAAAACAACCCTCAAATATTATACCTTTATTTAAAAATAAACATCCATTCTAAAATCTCTGTATTTATATTATAAAAATGCTTTTAATTCAATATAGTAGAGAGGAATAAATACAATTTGTAATTTACACTTACAGCATATCACAGATTTTCTCATAATCTAAATAAGTATGTGACATAATGTATCTCCGGTTTAAAGAAGCAGGTCAACTCTCCTGTGATTTGCAATGTCTTGCGGGAATTTAGTTAAAAATATGGACGGAGAGGGGCGCCTGGGTGGCGCAGTCGGTTAAGCGTCTGACTTCAGCCAGGTCACGATCTCACGGTCTGTGAGTTCGAGCCCCGCGTCAGGCTCTGGGCTGATGGCTCAGAACCTGGAGCCTGTTTCCGATTCTGTGTCTCCCTCTCTCTCTAACCCCTCCCCCGTTCATGCTCTGTCTCTCTCTGTCCCAAAAATAAATAAACGTTGAAAAAAAAATTTAAAAAAAAATATGGAGGGAGAGAGGGAGAGAGACTTATATGTGATCAGAACCTGGAGCAAAAAAGGGAAAAGGGATACTAGCTCATAGACGAAACTGAAGTATTCTCCCCAAACTACTGCAAAACCTTTGTTTAGAAAGGGTACAGAGTATAACAAGGCCAGATTTTCTTTTGAACCTTTAAAAATAATTTCATAGCAGTTCTGGGAAGATAATTAGCCATGACCTGGGCAGCAGTACATATTCTATAAAAGCAAATGATTTCTGTGGCATATTAAACAAGATACGGGGCTAGATCTTACTGTACCACTTAGTTTTAACCTGGAAAGGAAACAATAAAATCTGCATGGAGTTCGTTTGATGTCATAATCAATCATCTAATAAATATTTAACACAGGAACAAATGTGTAAGACATTGGACTGGACTCTGTGAAGGACTAAATAAAATACATAAGTCACATATAATCTTCAAGGGCAACTTTTCTAGAATGAGAAAAAATTAGACCTACCTATCCAGGGCTTAGAAATTTTGTAAAGGCATGATTATTGCATTTAAAAAAGACTGAAAAAGTGGCTGGACTGATAATGGATTTTAAAAACTCTCTACGTTATATATCACGACATAAAGCACAGTCAGGCTATTTGATCAGATACTCACAGAATGATTGTAAGAAGGTTCCAATATCACAGGTAGTGACATTTTCCCTTGAAGATTCAATTTCGTCAAATAAAAAATCTTTTCCCCCACAATCTTTTCCTTTTTCATACGGTGCACACCATACAGTCTAAACCGAACTGCGTAATTTCCAATCATCTCGGATTCAACATGATTGAACTTGAATGTCTCTGTGAAGACAGGGCATGGTCCTCTCTGGATGCTGGTTTTTGCTCTCTGCTTCTTTATAGGTAGAAGAACAAGGTGTACTTGCCATGAGTTGCCACCTGTCCTGTTATATGTTGGGATATCGGTGACAGCTGTCACTGTTACCAGAAGCTTCTGTTCTTGTGAGTCATAGTCAAAAGTCACATCCAGTGTGCCATATTTAGCTTCTGGCTCAGGATCAAAAGGTTTGGGAAGCTGTGAAGATGATCCTTGAGCTGACATATCCTAAGAAAAGCAAATTCAAATGTTTTCAGTTTTTAACTCTAGTATTTAATCGAGCATGTAAATAAACATCTGATACTGCTTTAGGAGGAGGATGTGAAAACTGTCACAAAGAAGGTAATAATAAGTAACAGTCAACTACGATCAAAAGCTACTCCACAAGGTCAGAGGAGTAAACGTGGTAGGTTAAACTCAAAAGCTTATCGTAATACAGACAAAGAATTTAGTATTCCCCATCACAATTTTGAGAAAGTTGGATATGTTTTTATAATTAAAAATACATGCTTCAAGATGTATCTCTCTTCCTTTCGTAGGAAACTACCAAATTGCACTTTCAACATTATAAACAACGCAACTGACAGCTCAATATTAGGCTGGATAGAAAGATAATGAATACAAGCATAATGCCATTGAAAAATTTGGTCCCCTTTGGAAAGTTTGTTCTAAAACACGCCATCTGTAACAGAGTGTAAGCACCTTGAGGCTTGAAAATCAAGGGAAATGGGAAATATGAAAGTATAAATACAGAGGCCTCAAAAATACTTGTGGCCAAATACTTATTTTCCATAACACATACATTATTTACACTTTAATTTTTAACCTCAATTTAAAACTACGTATTATTTTCTGAGGTTACTGTTGAAAATCGCTGACTACACATTTCAAAACTTCCAGAAAGACCAAAACTGTACGTTTTAATGATGAGGCTGGAAGAAGCTGTACCTGTTTTACCCAGAATTGTCTCAAATTCCTGCCAGCCTAAGTCCCTGGAATGTAACAAGAGGGTTGGCTACTTACCGACTGTGCCAAACCCAGGTCTCTGACCTTTCAACGACACCACTTTGTCCCTTCAAGCATTTTAACAAGTCTTAAACATCTTAAAATGATGGACATTTTAAAATGTGGACCAATTTTATAATTTTCTGCTTCTGAACGTGTCCTTGGTGCCTATGGTAGCAGCCACTCCTACTAGTCCCATTCTTCCCTTTTTGCATTTCTGAGAAGGGCTACCAGAGTTGAGGCAGAAACACACCGTCCCGCAAGAGACTGCCCTTCAAAACTTTCCTTGTGGCACCTATGCTCATGAGACTTGGCTTTGGTCAGTGGGAGGCAAGCAGAGTTATGTCTGAAACATCCAGATTAGGTTTATAGAGGAAATTACTTGACCTTCACTCTCTTTTTTTCTCAGGCTTCCCACCAGCAGATACGCAGGTAGGATGGGTGGCTCTGCTTGGACCATGTGGACTAAGACAAATACTCCAGGGGACGGCAGAGTGACAAAAAAAACAAACTCCCGCCCTGCCCCCCCCCAAGCCCCTGAATGATGTAGAGCGAAGCCACCTACTCCCCTAGACTGTCGTTAAATGAAAGACAATCTTCTGTGGTTTTTAGCCATCATATTGGTCTCTTGTTAAAGCAGCTGAACACAAACTCTAACTGTTGTACTAACCATGTGCCAGGCTGTATTTTAGTTGGGGAAGACTCAGCAGAGAACCAAAAATACTCAGGTCTTTTACATATAAATCTTACATGTCTACCTATGAGTGACCCTGCTTGGTACCATGTATGAAAAAAAAAGAAGAAATGAAGAACAACACTTAGGGAGAGGGAACAGACTCTTAGAGAAGGATTCGGCTTTTTTTTTTTAAATGGAATATGATGAAATCAGGATAAACATATTCTTATTCTGTCAAAAAAAAACTGACAATCTAGAGCAAAATGTTTTAACGTATGCCACTTCATAATTGGCAATCAAAGATGATTAATTACATGGCTTTGATTTTTCAATGAAATACTTTCTAAAATAGTATCATAATAGCTAAGATTTACAAGGCAGTAAAAAATTTCATAACGTCCCAGAGAGGGTTAAAAGGGTGGACCTTTATAGACAAAAATTACTATCTGTGTTCTCTAAACAGGCTACTAGAAAATAATCCCTCCTTTCAAAGTGTCTACATTTGAATGACTGTCAGCTAGTAAAAGGTCATCAGTAGAGTTTTTGACCTTCTTGCCAGGGAACCCTCACTGGAACCCTCACTCCTATCCCAGTTCAGTTGTGTGTGTAGATGGGCACTAACATAGCTATGCCCTGAATTAAATGAAGAGGAAAGTAAGACTTTTCTATTTGATAAGTAGTATCTATTAAAGGAAGAGTAGAAAGCAAAATAAATTTGAAAAAACACAAGAGTGGACTTTATACTAACAGAGGCTATAAAAGCATCTAGATATTGATACAACATGCACTTGCTGTAGAGTCTGAATATATTCAATTCTGCTACAGAGACACAAAAACAAGCAGGATAGAAGAGACTAAGTGTCAACAGACAGCAAGCTGGCAGCTTCTGAAATATGGGCAAAACTCAACGCCTGTGTTAACTATAAATAATGAATAAGGAAGTAATCTGAGAGGCAAAATTCAGAAGATACAGTAAATACAGATAGTAACTAAATTAATAACTTGGAAGATATGCCAAAGACAGACATAATGAATCAAAAATATAATAGAACAAATGAGTACTGCCTAAAGGAAGGAATGTAAGGCCCAAGCCATGATCATGTCACCTCTGAGCTAAAGCTCTGTCACCCATGTGTTCCTTAATGGAAATAGAACCTAGGTTGATTTAGTAGGCTAATTGGCAAGTTTTACTGATGACAGGAGTAATTGTCCCTGCATCTCTCCCAGAAAACAAGTATATGTTTTTGGCCCCTGGCACTGTTGTCTACATCTCAACTCTTGGGGTGCCTGGCTGGCTCAGCTGGTGGAGTATACAAGTCCTGATCTGGCGGTTGTGAGTACAAGCTCCACGCGGGGTGTACAGATTACTTTAAAAAAAAAACCAAAAACAAAAAAACTCAACTCTTCTCCCTGTT